TGATGTGCTGTTCCAGTCGTTTTTGGATAATCTTCAGTAAAATCTTGCTTGCATGTGAAATCAGTGAGCTTGTTCTGTAGTTTCCACATTCTGTTGGGTCACCTTTCTTTGGGATAGGAACAATAAACTGCAATAAAATTGCAATAAAGCAATCACGAATGTTTGGGTTTCCAAGTGCAAAAAAACAAAAGATACTTACATTGTACTGTAAAATGATACTTACAGTACAATGAGTCTTCAATGTCTCTGAGAATACACCTTTACGCATCAACAGATCAAATGAGAAACTGTGTTCTGTTGGCCCACCTCTCTCAAATTCCTTCTGCTTCAAAGAAGCAACTGTTTTATTACTTTCAGCTGTTTTCTTGGTGGATGTCTACTTCTAAGCAAAATCTTATGTTGATTTTTCTAAAAAATACATGTTAGACACAGTTCTATCTTCGTTTCTCTTGTGAGAACTTAATTTTGATATATAATACCATTTCTACACCCCTCTATCCTACTAATATTTTAGTTAACTGCTGCTTTAACATTTTACATGTACTATTAGCTACACATAAGAACACCATCACACAGCTGAACGATTATTTACCATTAAATTGCTTTTCTTGTGTAATTTTCCCTAAAGTCAGCAAATGTTTCATTTCTGTCTATTACCACCATATCTTTAAATCCCCCAATATTCTCCTGCATGGCTTCATTCTGTGACAAGTCATGTTACTGTTGAGAAGTCTGAGACCAATGTGCCTTAGTCCCCTGCTAGAAATACACTTCCATTCTGGACATGTCTGAAGACTTGTTGGGTTGATTCTGACTTAGAGCAAACGCATTAAGTGCCAGAGGAGTGAACAAGGTCCCACGGACTCCCAAGGGCTTGCTGCTTGACGCCAGGACTTTCCTCTGCAGCGCCACTGAGCAGCAGCCAAGGATGTGGTGGTGCCTGTGCTCCATGTATGGACTCTGTTCACTTCTCAAAGAACTCCCTGCCGTCAAGCTGGTTACCACTCACAACGACCCACCATTAGGTTCCCAAGGCTGTGACCTTAATGGGTGGAGACTGCCCACCTTTCTCTCGGAGGGTGAATTTGAATCAGTACACAGCATTTGAGTTAGCAGCACAACACCCTATCAACTAGCCCATCAGGGCTCTATTTATCCCCAGTAACCTGAAATTTTACAGCTCTTGGCCCTGAAGGACTTCTGGAGCACAGTCCATTGAAAGTGATCAGAACTGTGGGGAGGCATAAAACTAAGTAAGGTAATTCCTGTAGTCAAGGAGATGAAAATGATTCAGAAGAAGAAACAAGCAATATGAAGATAACAAGAGGTGAAATCGGCCTATGATACTGAATGAATGCAAAGAATTCAGGAGGCTAGAAGGGAAGAAAAACATGCCTGGTTTCAAGCAAAAAGCAGGGAAGCATAAAACAGCTTATACCCAGACGGAAGTATTTGAGTGGAGATATGAAGAATGAGTCAGACAGTGACTGGGTTGGAAAAAAAACATGAATAAATCTAAGATGTCAGGAAAAGAAGGAGTGTATTTAGAAAAATAGCCCATTCTGCTGACTAGCCTCATTCTGATTATATAGCACCAAGATGCAGGGTGAAATGGGGTGGCAGATATGACAGTAAGTTGTTAACCTGTCACCATGCTCAGGAGTCTGAAATTACTATTACATCAGTTAGCATTCTGAAAATTCCAACTTAAAAATAATAACTATTAAGACAATGCTAGAAAAAGAAATGAAAGCACGTTGAGAGAAGAGTTGTGAAAATGGACTTACATATGATTAGATCTTCTTCCTCTATTTGTTTTCTTTCCTATGACTGGAGTACCAAAATGCTCAGGGTTGGTGAGCGGGAGTTGGTCTAAGGTCTGTGGGGAAGAACATAAACCCAGCAAGTTATTACTTTGCAAATTCTTTTTTTTCTTTTTAAATCTACTCAATATGCTCAGATTTTGAGATTTAAACTTTGTCCCATGAAGACTAAAACACAACTTTTCTGAAGAATACTTTCAGAGATAATAGAATAAACAGAGGTTGTATACCAATGTTCATAGCAGCGTTATTCACCACAAGAACATGGAAACAGTCCAGATGTGCAACTATAATCAAATGGATTGAGAAATTACGGTACATTTTACACAATGGAATACTACATATTTACAAAATCCTTACTACCTAATTTGGGAGGGATGAGACAGCCTTATGCTGAATGAACTAACTCAATCCCATAAGGAAAAATAATATGTAAAACCATTATTACAGAGTAATAATGAGGATCCAAAAGGGGTAGAAGCAGAGAGGTGAGGATGAGCAGGAGGGGTGGGGCTGGGTTTTAATCATAGGGTCACACAATTTGATGGGTAGGGGTGATGAAAGGAAATGGGAAAGATCCAGTGTGAAAAGCAATGCATTCAAACTCTGGAAATAAATCAGTATAAAATTTTAAAAAAAAAATTACTGGGGGGAATGTGGAAAAGAAATAAAGTTGCTCTCTCAATTATTTTATTACAAATTCTGAGATTAAGGTGCTTCAAAGTGTAAGCAATAAAACAAAATAATTACAGCTCAGTGCAAACAGGAAATCTCTAAGGAGTTAAGAGAGAAATCTATAAGGAGCTAAGTCTTACTAGGTTGAGTCTAGTTTCAACTCAAAATTTTCACTGTATATCATGAAACATAATCCATAAAACAGAAATCTTACTAAAGAATTAAAACAAAATCACTAATAAGATTAACATCAATTTCTTGAAATAAGGCTTCACAAAAAAAAGTTTTGGAACAAATTTTAATTAAATACTAACAAATGTAACATTTTACTAAATGTTATCAAACATTTAGGTTTTCTCCATCTAATATTTTCATTTCCCTTCCTTTTTAATCTTCAGCATCCAATACTGTGCTTAGTACACAAATAATTATCAGTAAATGAAGAGTTCTCTCTTGTTAAACTGGAGAGTTTCCTTTTGCCCTTGGTTCCCATTAAAAATGGCAAAGGACTGGTTGATCACAGAAAGCAAAAATAAGAGGGAGATCAGGTCATGATTTTATATAAGAAACAATCTTGATTATTTTTTATAGAAAAAGTAGTAAATATAAAAAAAACTTAAATATTCAACTCAAGATGCTATATGTCAACAAATTTAATGCTCTGGCTATGATTTTTTATATTCTTACTATTCATCTTTCCACAGAGGGTATTCTTTTTTTTAAAAAAAAAAAAAGGGTCTAGGAAATATCAAAGTAGCTATCACAGATAACTGTATGAATTCTACAGAAACCAGAGATCCAGGGAAACTGTCAGGGTGGAAGAAAGGATGAACCACTCTTTAGGATAAAGAGTCCTCTCAGAGTTATGAACCAAGTGTTGCATATATGAAATGGGCCCATCATCTTAGGTTTGAAGATCAGACATCTCAGCACAAACGAAGATTTTAAAAATAAAATTTTAACTTTAATTTTAAAAACTGAGATAATCTGCTAAAAGCCATGCCCTAAATTGTGAAAAGGTGAATATTAACAATCTTAAGACTATATGTGGAGCTCTGTTGGCCTAGGGAATAAGGAGCTGTGTTGCCAACCTAAAGGCAAGCAGTTCGAATCTACCAGTTACTTGATTTTAAAAAGGGGGGGGGGGCAAACTCCTCCTATGCTATTTACAGCCTCTGAAAATCTGTTGGAGGGTCAGCAATGAGTCACTTCTGACTCAACAGCAATCAACAACAAACAAGAATATGTGGTTTTTGTTGTTTCGGGACAATGAGTTGACTAGGACTCATTGATAAAAGTGTATTAAAGGTAAAAATTTATTTTAATTGTGATTTTAACAAAGTTTACAGAAAAGTTGGATTTTCATTCATTTATCATTGCACATTTTCCTCCTATCCCTTCCCCCCATTCACTTACTTTCTTTTTTTTAAAATATTCATTCATTATTCTACAATTTCCTCTCTCCTCCTCCTTAGTTCACTTTTCAATGTACTTCTTATTCTGGACTGTTGTCATACATATAATCCTTAATCATATATTCCTTTTAAATAGGTCTTCCTCACAGCTCTTCCAATGATCAATCTATCCACTCTTATTCTTTTCTCCTCCCATCCCCTCATATCAGTGGTGTTATGCAGTATTTGTCCTTCACTCAGAATAATGTCCTACAGGATCATCCATGTTGTGTAATGTTTTATGAGTTCACTGTTTTTTAGTACTGTGTAGTATCCCATTATGTGAATATACCATAGTTTTTCTATCCATTCATTTGTTGATGGATACTTGGGTTGCTTCAATTTCTATGCTATAATGACTAAAGCAGCAATAAACCCAGGTATGCATACATCTGTTTGAGTCATGATTCTGGTTTCTTTAGGGTATATTCCCAGTAGTAGTACTGCTGGGTCAAATGGTATTTCTATTTCCGACTTTTTAAGAAAATGCCAGACTGCCTCCATAGCAGATGCACCATTTTACACTCGCACTAGCAGTAAATAAGGGTTCCAATCTCTCCACAACCTTGCCAGCACTTGTTGTTTGTGGCTCAGATGAATGTAGCTATTGTTGCTGAGAATATATTTATTTTTTAAAAAAAACCCTATTGTCTTCACAATTACATGCTATACATCAGAAAGCTGGAAAATGACTAGGGATGACAGAAAGAGAACTGATGCCTTTGATCTGTGGTGCAGGAGGAGAGTACTAAATATACATACCATGGATTGCTAGGAAAACAAACAGGTTTGTCCCAAAGAGGGTGAAAAGGAGGCTGCTCCTGGGAGGCAAGGATTCTGAGGCTCTGTCTGACTTATTTTGGGCATGTTGCAAGGAGGGACCAGTCCTTGCACAATATGTTTGGGACACTATCCTTGGAAGGGTAGAGGGACAGCACAGGAGAGGAAGACCCTGGATGAGGTGGATTGACTTGAGTGACTGGAGTAATGGGGGTTATCTGTGTCAGAGACAGTAAGGTTGGCTCAGGATAGAGCAGGGTTCAGAGCTGTTGTACATAGAGTCACTATGAGTTGCAAGTGACTCGAAGGCATATAACAACAACATTGACAGAATACAGAATACAGAATAGAAAAAAGTATTAGCCATTCAAGGTTAAATAATGATTAATTCCTTTGAAAGACAAAAATTATTAACTTTCATAGGGGAAAACTCCCTATCTTTTAAACTTGGTTTATATATGGAATCTGATCTTTGTGCAAAGGACCTGCAAGCCAGGCCCTCAACAAGTGCAGTCTGGAGGCTGCACCCCCACCACCCCACACAACAGTGAATGTCAAACCAAAGCTGCTGAGAAATCACCTGTCATTAGTTCAATGATCAGAAATCAAAGTGGACACATGCATGTAAACACACAACACACATGGTCTTTCTTGAAATGATTTAGTTGTAATACTTCTGGTTTTATACTGTAATTATCTTTAAAACCATGCTAAAATCCTTTTGGTAAAATAACAATTATTTGAAATTTTTCTTTGTATCCAATAAATAAAGGACTAATTCTTTGGGAAGGGATATTATACTTGGAAAGGTCAGCAAAAGAGATTAAGACTGTCAGAGAGAGACTGACACAGTGACTGCACCCATGGGCTCATGTGTGTGTCAGTGATGGTGAGGATGGCACAAGACAGGACAAGGTTCAGATCTATTATTCCTAAGGTAGCTATGAGTCATACTTGACTTGATGACCCCCAATAACAATAATAACAGCATGTTTTCATGTGCTAGACAATGCACAATCTTTAAGCTCTCATAGTCCTGACTGACAATAAATATGTATTATAACTAAAGGAAATGAGATTATTTCTAGAAATTACACACTCAGAATTGCTACTTGATTAGTGTAAAAAGCCAAATTTACTATATTTGTCTCATAACTGTATGCGTTCCCTATAGTTAGAATCTTCACAATTCATCAAATGTTTATGTAAGGCTTTTGTATAGAAAACACAAATAGGAAAAGAAAGCTCTATCAAGAAGAGAAAACATGACTATATCTTAAAAGTAGCTTAAAATTTAATATGGAAAATAAGAAAAGTAAAAAATGTAGCATAATAAATAAGTACAAGAGGAACAAAGGATAAAGAGATAGCAATTTACTTAAAGAGCTCACAGAAGAAAAAGGATGGCTAGTGGCCTTAAGAAGAGAATTCCCATCAAAGGGAAGAGAAACAGGGTTAATGATGACCAAGCAAAGAAAATCTAAAAACCATGATCCAGAAACAATCAGGCAGAGGGATACAGGGATATGATAGAATCTAAAGCAAAATCATATTTCAGGGAACTCATAATAAAAGATAGCTCAAATTCTGAATTTAAATACAAGTTCAAACATTAAAGAATGCAAAACTAGAATGCTTGATAGCAATGGATGAGATTTGGTTCCTAGTTCCTAGAATAGTGCCTGACACAGTTAGTTGATGAATAAATGAAATGCATATTTACTGGGGTATTGCCTATTTTCTTCACAGAAATTATCTCATTGACAGTGTTAGGAGATAGATACTATCATTAGTCCCAGTTTACAGAGAAGGGAGTTATTAGAGCTGGATCATAGAATGGAATTTTCTTGCACTAAAGCCATGCTTTTATATTAAAAGTTGTTACAAAATTCCTGAGAATGAAAGGTTACAAAATTTTGTCATTTGCAATTTGGATTTTTTTTTTAAAGAATAGCTATTTTATTGTAGGTTATACTTTTCTAGCACAGCCTATAAAAATTAATGCACAGTAACTGAACTATGATTTTTATTTATTTATTTTTTAATCACTATTTAACCCTAGTGACCTAGTCTGAAAGGAGTTGCACTACTAACTCTACTCAAAAGTGGTGGTTTGAATCAATCAGCACCTCTGAGGGAGAAAAATG